TTAAATGAAGTGTGATTTCGAATATTTCGAATATAAGCCACACCCCAGTTTTCCTCTTGAATTTTTGGCAAAAAAATGTGCGGCCTATACATGCGTAAATACGGTACTTTTCTTGTACAATAAACACAGGTTGTCATAAAAGGACTGCTACTGCTGGGAATAGACAGTAAACTGAAATATTAATATAAATGAAATATGCTGTGTTCTTAAAAATAATTAATAGCAGTTAAAATTAATTCAAAGTATTGTTTAAGTATATGAACATAGTGATGGCCCTATTTTTCTCCTGCGGGTACACAGAATACCTTGTGTAGTTGGCTGTGTGTCCCTCTGTGACGTGTTTGTCTCACTCAGGGTTGTGGAAGTGTGCAGGATGTGATGTGATGAGCAATGAAGGGAATATCACTGGAGAAACCAAGAACGAGACAAAGTGATCAAATGATACAGAACAGAGTATGGAAAGAGCGGACACATATATAATGGAAGACTAGTGGGAGAAGGCTCTGTCACAGGACAGCCAACCTTGGCAAAAACATCAATGAATGTGTCATTAACTGAATGACATTACATAGAAAAGACTAACCTGAAGCAGTAGGCATCCACTCCAGTAATGGTCTGTGCATAATGTGCAAGCTTCAGCCCAAGTTCTGTTTCTGGAGCACCACCCCCCGCAATCAGTGCCCTACAACACATAACTATCATGTTAATTTGTAACTGACAGTCACTGTATGTAGTATACAAGCTCAGATGTTGGTTCAGTCAGGAGCATGTGATCATGGATATTCAGGCGTGTTGTACGATGTCACAAAGAACATCACTACCAACCTCTGAAACACAAGTTTCTCTCATACAAGAAATTTTCCAAAATGAAACACAAATTAACTCTCTCATAAGACATTTAGTTATTTCTTAACAGACAATCTACGCAGACTCAAATGTTACATGAGTGTACATTAAAATAACCATTTACGTGGCTTTGAAATAAGCGAGTGTGGCAAGCTCTGCAATGCCTGCCTCAGAGACCAATTTTTCTTTGCATAAAATTCAAACAAATGTCAAAACACTTTCTACTTCATATCTGGGGTACAAAGTCTCCACTGTGCTGTGTAGAGACACAGTTCCTACACTGTCTGTAGTACTAGACCTGGTGGCAATAAGGTTAAGATACTGTGAAAGCATCAACCTACAGTTACTACTAAAACTTTTTTGTGACAACTGGCTGTGAAAGTAAAAAATGTACCTATTTGTGTTGGCTTCAGACTTTACGCTGCTAATGTGTTTACTACAAACATTCAACATGCTACCTATTCTAATTAAACTTTACATAAATAACTACCCTGAAATGACAGCTTCTATGAGAGAAATATTACATGAACTCCCCATATACCACATGAAAATTATGCTACAAAATTTCACTGCAAAACTGTCAAGTGAATATACTTTCAAATGGACAACTGAGAAAAAGAACTTCATTAAATTTGTTAGTGATAATGAAGACAGAGTAGTAAACTTTGCCATATCAAAAATCAAACTATCAAAGTACAATGTTTCCACATCACAAGATCCATAAATATACCTGCACTTCTCCTGGATATGCAGTCAGAACGGTCATATTTAGATATATAAGAATGTCACTCGGGTACGTATATTGGACTGCCAATTATTTATACAAGCTGACTGTGACAACAACACTGCGTGGTTATTGCAAACATTAGGGACACTGTAAATGAACTCCTCAGAAATTTGATAGATTTCACACATGTGAAAATTAAAGAACAGTATCAGGTTACAATTCCAAACATCTCTGGAAAACTTAAATGCTGCTGACATCAAAAGGGTCTGAGAATATATCAGACAGTCGGGTTATAGTCAACTTAAGTGCAGTGATCATTTCCAACACTCATACAATCAATAAAACCAAAAATTTACTGGTATACTCTGACAACTGAAATGTCACCATACACTCTTGGATGTAGGATACGTACTTGAAAAGCTTCTATTAATTCTGAAATTACCAAATTAAACTTATACAGGTACAACGAGTTAACCAAGACAAATAATATGCCAAACATCACGATTAAGCTAACCTCTGTTTGACAAGACACCGCACCACACACAGAGCATCGTGCAGGGATCGATCGGCCTCCTCAAGCACCAACTTGTTGCTACCGCGGAGAAGAATGGTCACAGTGCGACCTGAATTCTGTATTCCTGTCACCTGGAAGTGAAGATATCATTGTGTTTAAAAGTACAAACCACACATTACACAGCAATGGATGCTGTTCATGGGTGAACCTGTATCAAGACAGTCAGATTTTGACATACTTGTTTCAGGTTTAGACACCATTAAATATATCAGCTCCAGTGGTGCGTGTGTCCTCAGTATTTTAATAGATTGCATGGCATGCTCGCCAGGTGAGGTGATTCTTCTCCCTCTGCTCGGCTCCAGAGACAGTAATTAAGTGTTACTTTGTCGGTACCAACTACTGAGGTGTAATGCATCTGCAAACTGAAGATCACAACATACCTTCACAAACTTGCTGTTCCCTGTTTGCACCTGCTCCACTAATTCAGCATTAGCAAGATGTTCTGGCAGGAAGTGGTCCAAACTTGCAATAGGCCGACAACCTAGAGTCTGTTAATAAAGAATTCAGTATGTTTAGTATCTTTACTTGCTGGCCGAACTCAAATTTTGGTTTCAGACAGGGTGCCATAGGAATTTAAGTTTGTTATTTAAAAACGCTGTCAGTATTGGGACTCTACAGTGTCACAGTGTCAATGATAGGATGGTTAATGAATATGGAGCAGTTGGTGGAATGAGAACTGTTTGGGGAAATTTAAATACTCACAGAAACCTGTCCTAGTGCCACTTTGTCCAACAAAGTGCCCTATAAAAAAAAAAGGAAATACATAGATCGGATAAAAAGTAGTTCTGAAATGACTTTATTACCTGAGGTAAACACACTTACATTCCTTCAATATAATCGCCCCCCATGTGTACCACCTTCTGCCAAATTTGTGGAAGGCATCGTACACTTCTGTTGATGTCCAGCAGTGACCGCCCTACAGCACAAATAATCTCCACTTTTGTGTTGTAACGTGTCCCTCGTAGTGGTTCTTTCATTTTGGCAAAGAGATCATAATCACACAGACTCATATCGGGTGAGTATGGTGGATGTAGCAGTATCTCCCATCGCCAGCGCTACTGGAGTGAGAACAATCCCTGAGAACTTCATGAGAGGCCCCTTCATTGTGAACGTGTAACTGTTTGGTGTGCACTGTCAAGAGTAGGGATTATTGGTCCCTAATTTTTGGAAGAGAATTAGGTTGCAGTTACGGTGAATTCTGTTTGCTATGTGAAAATGATCGAAGAATCTTTTTTTGCAAAGTCTTGACGAAATGGATGTTGGGGATGTGTGGTTTCAGCAGGATGGAGCCAGGGCACACACACGGCGCGAACTGCAATGTGTGTTCTGCGGGAACACTTCCCCAGGCGCCTCATTTCTTTGAGGGACAATCTTCAGTGGCTGGCGCGCTCACCCGATATAGCCCCTTGTGACTATTTCTTATGGAGGTATCTGAAATCCCTCGTGTACACCTATCATCCAAAGACCCTTGCTCAACTGAAGGAGAATATTCGCCAAGCCACAGCCAACATACCCATCGCTATGCTGGAAAGAGTCGACTGACACTTCGGAATTCAGGCAAATCAGTGTATCACCAATTGGGGGGTGGGGGGTGCTCCACTTGTTGGATACAATTTTTAAAACACAGTAAACATAAATTTCCAATGTTGTAGAATATGGAGAAAAAATAATTACGATACCTATAACATCTTTTGTTTTATTGACCCTTGAAATCAGCAAATTATGCTGCTGCACCCTGTATGTAGGAATAACACAAGGAAAAGAATAGATCAATTGTCAATCAGAATTCTGTTAATTGAGGGGCTCTGTGAAATATGCTAATGCTGTAGAACACAAAGCGCCGGGCCAACATTCATCCAAAAAAACAGTGCCCCGTCTAAGAGAAAGGAATTTTATAAGCAAGATTCCACCAACTGAAGAAATCAAAACAAAAACATCATGTTGTGTCAAAATCTGTGTGATGTGGGACTCTGTGTGGAATATTTTCATGACTAACACACCCAGCTGAACTTCTAAGGTAATATGATTCTATCATTCATAATTCTTATAGGCTTACTGTTCCAAAAAATAATTTTAAAGCAGTGTGGATCAATACACCGATTCTATATACATTTCTGAACGTAGTGTGAAAATCAGAAAAACAGAACTCCAGTTTTTCCCAATTTATTACACTTTAAGTGAAATGTTGCACCCTTCGATTTAAATGTTTAAATATTCTCCAGCATAGGAGTTGAGCAGGAATTTAAATGCCTGCCAGCAGTGAAGGGTTAACCATAAAAGTGCAAGTTTCAAAATTTCTGGCCATTATAAAAGTTGTTATATCTAAGTGCATATATCTCTGGCGATTCATACAGAAAACACAGTCGAACAAATGGAAGGAACTTTTTCCTAAATTTGAAGCGCTCAGGAAGCTTCTGTATCTTATTTCACGACAGAAGAGGAGCTCTGAAAATATGAACTGGCAGGCTGCCAATATAAGAATCAAGGATGGCCCTTCTGGGGTTAGCTTACTAAACCATCATTTGTCTGGAAACTGAGGAAAACTAGAAACCATACCAAGAATATGATTCCTGTTATATGAAACAGGAGTTCTAACCATTTTACTGCAACATTTCATACTGTGGGTATTAATATATAATGTGTAACATATGAAACTGTTCCCCAGTATGATCAGCCACTTCATCACCATGAAACTGTGCTCCGAAGAAGTCACTCACTGGATGGAATTCTGCACAGGTCCCAGAGCCACTCTAGTTAATGGAATTGGGGGGGAATCCCCTAGCAGGATTCAAACCTATCATTCACCAGTAGCCAGTCACTTTACTGTTCATTCATTTACACCGAAGTGCTTTTACAGCCAAGAAAACGTACATTTTTCTGAAAAATTATAAAGGCTGTATCTGGTACTGGATATTGTGCAAGAACTGAAAAACTTGCAGTGACAAGGATATAGAGGAAACTGCATAATGAGCTTTGGTATTTGCACCCCTCTTCTGATTTTGTTACTCATATAATGACTAAATGTGGTAGAGACAGACCAAGGTGTTGCATGAATAAAAACAAAAAATTTGGGTTGGAAAACCTTAAGGGAAGATATCAACTGGGATATGCAGATAAAGATAGCCTTATAAATACAAGTTTCCACTATGTGACCGAGTTCAACTGGCTCAGAGCAGGAACCAGCAGCAAACTTCTGTAAACTCTGCGACTCAGCGATTATCTTTAGGTTCCACACCAGAAAACTGACTTTTGAACTACTCTGAAAACCCCAAGTACAATAGTTAGTACTCTAGGTGTAGGGATCTTGTAAACCTCACATCTTACCTTGGTAATGAATTCTATGTCTTCTCTCTCAATGTCTTTCACTACCATCACTTTTATTTTGTCCAGGAAGTGAATCGCCAAATCACTGAGCGCATCCCTGCAACACAGTAACATGAAGACTGGGTTCAAACCAGAGAGGATAGAGACAAGAAACTGTAACATTACAGACATAGTTACCTTTGCTGGTTAACAGGACATGTATACTACAACACTGTTAATATAGTAAATAATTCCAAATCCTGTATAATTTGAACTGTCAATCCCTGTCCAAACAGATACAGCTCTTTAGGCTTTCTAATGTGAATAATCCACAGTTCAGCTAATTTGTAACTCAAACTGGTAACTAAGTAATTTGGGCACTAAAAATTTAAATTATAAATGTCCAGTAAGCAACTTGCAATTTTGGAAGTATAAGCATCCCTACAGAATTTCTGAACACACATGTGGCTGGTACTGAGCAGACAGACTCAAACTGGAGAACTGATGACTGGATCTGGGGAGGGAAGCTTGTTGAAAATTTCTGTGAAGGCACAGGAAAGAGGGGGAACAGGGGTCAGTTTGTTCAAGCATCTGTGAAATAAAACACTCTTCTTCTCATTGTCTTTTCTTGGTGGATAGCAGACAGTATCACTATACAGGAATTGCTGAATCAGAGGCAATTTCAGAAGTAATACTGTCAACATGCCTAAAAGATTGTGATATAACAAGAAAAGCTATAGAGGGTGCAAAAACTGATGAAATGACGTGAATCCAAGAAGTCAAGCATTCAAACTTTGAAGACAAATTACCTAAACAGCCATGCCCATGCCAATAGCACTCTCAGAACTGAGTTCAAATGTTTAAATGTTCAAATGGCTGGCTGCAAAGATTTAACCAATGACATAACATGGTGTTACAGATAATTAATGGTGAAATTTGTTCAGCAACCATCGAGCTGCTGACAACTGACACAGAAATGCGGTACCAGTACTAAACGTGACACAGAAACCATACAGCAACATTCAGCTTTTTCAGTCTTATCAGTAAATGGTACATAATCAGGAGTGTTAAAAAATTCTGACTAACTGAAACATGTCATTTCACACATATCTCATAAAACTATACTAGTGACAAGACATTTGGACCACTTCATTGCAAATAAAGCTTTACATCATCTTGAGGCATCAATGTAATTTGGAATACTGATTATTTAAACAAATCTATTTTCCACCACACTGACTAGACTCATGGTACTAAGGTCTCAACGTGCCTGAGTATAGACTTCTGCACCAGCAACACATTGCAGCCAGATTTCTTGATTTGCTTCACGATGTTCAAGATGTATGCCCGCTCCTCCTTCAGCACACGGTCCATAGCTGCATAGTCTGACACAATCACACTGTGGTCCATCTAGAGCATTACAACACATATCAGCCAGTGAACCACAAACCTAACTTCCGACTGCTGAAAATTTAATGTAGTCTGCCACACTGAGTCTTATTAAAACTGGTCAAGTAGTTTGGACCTGGACATGACAATATATTTCTCTTGAAAATAATACCCAAAACCTACTGAAATTACCTTACACAAATGACACTGTATAAAGTACAAACTTACGTCTGTCTTGGGAGGGGAAATGCAGAACTGTATGAGTCCAATCTTGGCCTTCTCAACCCTCCTGGGTCCATTCACATTTGCAGTTCTCTGTGTAAACACAAGCCCATCAACCAACTCTGTGTCCTCCACAGTGCCACCAAGCTTCTTGATGATTCTAATGTCCTGTGAAGATTATATAAAGAGCTATCATGTGAGATTTGAGGTTCTTACAGTGGACAGAACAAAGACTGTGTCCTCTTGGATAAGACATCATGTAGTCTGGTAGAATTCAGAGGAATACACTGCTTCCATCTTCAGGGTAGAAGAAAATGAAGATTAAGGCAGCATGGTCCATCAAAAAACATTAGTAAACTTCTACCAGAGTATACACATTACATAAAATCTTCAATGTACTACCAGTTCCTTTTGGACTGCATACATGTGAAACCTCCTGAGTCCTTAATACCATTAGAACCAACCAGAAAGTCTATGCCTGCAGCCAAGCCACTTTACTCACTAGCATATTTTTAAATATACCTTGAAATATTCACAATTTCACGAACTTCCGTTTTTCACGCCTGCCTAAACTGTTCTCTACTGTACTGTATCAAGAGAACCTTCTACTTAGTGCAATGTAAATTCCCAGAATAAATACTGTTCCAGTGATAAGCAACCAGATGAACCATCAGGTATTATCACAAATGAAAAGAAATATTATTATTTATCAAAAAATTTAAATAAAAAAATCAACATCTAAAACCCACAATTTGTTATATTTATAGTTTCGAGATGGTACTTTTCAGATAAGCCTGGATACTCAGAAGTCTGTAGCAAAGAAACAGTCCTAAGCTTATCACATGCTATTCTGCAACATTAAAAATGCTAATCACAAGAATATTAACTATCTCGTTTTGTTTGTATTACTGCTATCATTATTAATTAGGACTGTGACAAAAATTTATGTAACAAAATATAAACTACATACTACTACCATTTACTTCACAGCCTAGACAGGGTGCAAGGTATTTAACTACACCTTGTGCAAAATATGTCACACTGGAAAACCTAGAAGGTGCACAAATACAAGTAATAAATAAAAAGCCACAATGGTAATTTCAGCATATGTAGCTGTACTGATCTGAAGAGAAATATTTTCAGAGTTCAATATCCAGAGTCTTCAAACAAAATATTCCCAATATTACACAAATCGTGGATAACTCGTCAGTTATCACAATTTTTTTCTCAGTTTCATCCAGTGCTGTTTTCATTATTTATTCAATTTAATTTTGTACCTGGCATACCTAGTCTCCCTTATTCCAGAGCAAACTGCTGTGGTTATCATCACACTGTTCTGGCATTAGTATTTGAACACCACAGAAATGAACATGTTATAAGAAAAAGCATTCTAATATTAATATTCCAAAAATAAGATCTTAATATATCATTGGAACCTGATAAACATACCTTTAAGTCCACATTTTTGTCCTTTGCTGGATCAATGACCTTTAGAACAGCCTCAACTGCTAATGGAGCCAGCAAACTGGACTGCTGAGAGACCACCTGTAACAGGTATGCAACTTGACTCAGTGACCCCACATCGATTACTGTCCTATGCACTGCAACAATGACTGAACAAAGGTACCTTCATAAAAGGAAACAGAATGAAACTGTAAGAGAGTATGATTTATAAAAAGGACTTTATTATGGTCACAAAAACCACTGAAACTATGAATTTCTTAATTTTAAATATATGTAAAACCAAGGCATAAAATGTATTTCCCCCCAGCATTTTGTCATAATGAATAATCCGTAACTACCTGCCACAGATTCTCTAGCAACTTTTTCCAGAAACTGTACTTACAATTTTGTTCCGAAGTTACTTATGGCTAGAGTCCATAACAGTCACATTAGCCAAGCCTACCCTTTTGGAGACTGCTCACATTCTAGAATATGCATGCAGCCACCACCCACCTATTACCTTGACCTAGCAAAAATGGCAAAGAGGGTGAACTGAAAACATGTTTCCTCCCACCCAACCTACAAGTTAATAGTCAAAGTAATCACTGACAATAGCTGCATGCCATGACTTGGAGTCTTCAGATATAATTTAGAAGCCTTGGGTGAGTCAACCTTGCAGATTGGTGGCAATCTACTGATATCACGTTCTAACCATTCAGAAATATACATCACATCATGTACTCTGGACACCCTGCTCAATCAAGCAGCTTGTTTGATTGCGTACAGTGTCAGATGGTTAGTGAACAAAGTGAACTTTTCTGTATCTATGCTTGTGTTCAAGTTCAACCCTAATTGAACAAATGAAATAAAGAGCTTACACTTGAATATAAAGCTCAAAATAAGTCGTGTGTGAAGTTGGCAGATCTTCAAAAGGTGAAATACAAAAGCAGTATGATTAACTTCAAAATTATTTCCAATACTGAAGGACAAAGGGAAAACACAGTCACCTGTTCTATGTGATGGAAGTCTGATAACACAGAGACAAATAAATATGGAGAACAGAGATTTGAAATCTGTGCTCTTCGAGTGATTTTGCCAAGAGATAGCTGCTCATATACCAACTGATGTACCTATGAGCAAGGCAAAGGAGACAGTGTTGCAGCAAGATTAATAACTGAGAACTATCTGTGTTCTGAAGGATGGTTCTTAAAAGAAGTGGTTTCTACACAAATAAATACAATTACATATTTAATAATATCAAATTGACTTCTAAAATAAGTAATGCCATATTAAATGAAAAAAAAAAATGGTTGGGGGAACAATTTCAATCACAGAGAAAATGTGCAAAAATAAAAAACAAACTCTGTGGCTTTACTCTGCAAGCAAACTACACCAACCGAGCGACCACAACTTGTCAACAAAGTTAGTCAACATCGACAGTTATTTCAACCACAGACAAACTAAATGAAGGTGCAAGTTCTAGGAGGCTGACCATTTTGTACACTACAAGTTGGTTATTTTCTAAAGAGAAATTCACTAAATAAGGCAAAATGACAGATCGCATGAAAAGCAGTAATACAGAAGTGATATACATGGCAAAGGGGAGTGGAATGACCTTTATTAAGTGATGTTTATGTCCATGGGTGACTACAATCTGTACCTTGGAATTTAGTGCAGTGGAAGCACTCTTGATGAGACTCTCTTTATCTGTCAGTTCAATGGGTCTGGACATTCCAGCAAGGATCTCCACAGCCTTTGCAGCTGCACGCTGGAATGCATCTGAGATGATAGTGGGATGAATGCCCCGCTGAAGCAGTTTTTCTGCAGCTTCCAAGAGACTGCCCGCAACCACCACAACACTGGTTGTTCCATCTCCTGCCTCAATGTCCTGAGCTTTTGACAGCTCAACCAACTGAAAGTTGAACAAGAAAATACATAAATAGCCATAGTTCAAACCCAAAGGAAAATTGATTTCAAGATGTAGAACATGAATATGGCCCATCTCATACTCTACCACTGTACTGTCAATTAAGACTTATGTTTGCCATCAAGTTACTTAATGGGGCATGCGGTAGTGCAGCTGTTTTAAGGCACTATGCTACAAGCCTGAACGTCGCGGCTTCGAATCCTGATGAGGCCATTGGATTTTTTCCATTTACCTAATCCTTCCAGCTGTACTATGGCCCTGGGGTTGGCTCAGCCTCTAACAGAAATGAGTACCAAGAATCTTCGGGGGGGGGGGGTAAAGGATGGCTGGTGTGTGAGGCTGACAACCTTACTGCCATCTGTGAGCCCCAACGTCTAACAACCCCTATGGCCCTTCAGGGCCCATTACAGGAACAGCTTTACATTTCTTACCTTATCAAGTTACTTGACATACTTTGATGTTCTAAATCCCTGCTCTTCTGGGGACATCATAATTTTTTCTTAGGGTTCCTGTTTTTATATCTTTGACTATTTTTACATATTAAGGTCTTACTAATAAGTGTAGCTGTCTTGTCCTCATTTCAATAAACCTGCACACATTCTAAGCCTGAACAGATATGCTAAGTTTATAAAACTTCATTATGTAACCCTGAAGATGTCAGAAAAGCAGATAAAACATGTAGGGGTACAACATAAAATAAGATTTTACTAAATCAAACTGATCTCAGCTGTAACTTTTGGTGAAAACACATGTTAAAATGTTACCTCGTTCATAATAAAGTAAAACCTCGTTAACAGATTTACATTAGAGCACTTTACCAGCCTACCTGCACCAGTAAACATAATGTAAATACAAATACAATCAACAGAAGAGCTTTTTTTTTTTTCAGAACCCACCTTGTAAGCTGTCTAATACTGTGCGAAGAGTGACGTAACATTTTTTCCTTTGAGTAGACTATCCCATTATTCCAGCACATGTAATTCTCAGAAAGGCGAGTCTTTTAAATTTCATCCTCTTTTGATTGAGATTATGTTTTGTTCATCATAACCTCTTACACATCAGCTACTAACATCAATCAAAAAATAAATGTATGAGAAGTTTGGCTGTCATGATAGTAAACATTAAGGTTATGGTCTTCAGTGATGTAACACTGTGTAATATGATACAGAAGTACCTAATGAGATGCCTTATTAAATTTATAGCATGACTTGCATTTGGTTCTTTCAAAATGCAGTGTAAATGAATGCCATGCTATGTGCCCAGGATAAAATGCACAACACCACCTTAACATCATAACTACTGGACTAAAATTATAACACCTGGAAGCAAAGCATATTCCAGAAACTTAACAAACACATAACTCCACGTAAGTTTACCATTTTTGCTGCTGGATGTGTGACACTAATCTGTTTCAGAATTGTTGCTCCATCATTGGTGATTGTCACTTCTCCATTGCC